GCATCTTTTTGTAACTACTCATGTTCAGATCTAGTGAGAATCTTTCCTAAGACATTTTAGCACGTTCTGATTTTAATGGGCTTAGACATTCTACATTTCTGATTGTTAATATTTTGCATGATTTATCTCTGTTCTGGATACCTCTGCTGATCTCACTTCTATCCTGCCTTACTGAGTTATTGGGCTACTTCTCAAGGTTACGTTGATGTCATCATGAATACCTTCCAAAAATTGACCAAAGTTACTCTGCTGTCCACAATCATACTTATAGTACAAATAAATATAATGACACGTCTGAAAAGTAATTTTAGATGTCATTCATGAAGTCAAGTTTTTCATAAATGCACTGCCAAGCCTTTAACTTCCAATACTGCATTTAGTAGTTTGAAGAACAGATTTGATAAAATGTTAATGAAGACAATGGAAGTTGAACACCAACTTCAGAACTTGTTTAATTGCTTAAATACAGAATTCCAACAGAATCATAGAACGGTTTAGGTCGGAAAGGACCTTGAAGATTTGAATAAAAACATATATTCTAGAAATTTAAAGTTATAAGTTCTGGAAGGTTGCAATTAGATGAAGGTTATAATTACCGATGACATCTCTAAAACCATATTGAATTTAAAAATCACACCTGTAGGCCCACAAAACCATAACTGATACCAAAACATTCCAACCTGGATGTTAGAAAATAACCAGGCTTCTGATTATAGGAAATTAACTCTACTTCTAGGTTCTCTATACATAAAATGTTACAGAATACTCAACTCTGAAGAAAAGGAAAAAATAAAAATAGATCATGATTTATTGGAAAAATAAGTCCAAAACATAAAATCAGCTTTATTTGCTGTTGTCTCAGTCTCTGTGTTCATGAACAAAATGTTGTAGTTAAAGCACTGAGCAGCTAAAACCAGCTATGGCCACAATACTAAATATAACTAAGGGCAGGGGCTAAAATGGAAGAAAAAGGGGAAAGGATTGTGAAAGAAACAATTGTCACTTTTGTTTTTTAAACAGGAAGATCTGACAGAGCAGAACAAGAAATGTTAAAAAAACACACCCTGCCTATCTTCTAAGTAATAAAAAAGAACAAAAGTAACAAAAAAATTCTTCCAAACTTGAAAGAGTACTCCAGCAACCAAATACTAGTATTAAAATATCAGCTTAACACAAAATCAATAAACTCTTACAATCCACTTAAAAGAGTCGATTCAATACTGCTAAATTATTTTGTACCCATTCATTGTACTAGATTATTGTGGTGAGTGGAATGAAGAAAGAAGCTGCTATCTGGCAGAAAATTCATTACATTACCATTAGAATTTTGTGTTCTACTATACAATTTCTGCCTTTGTTAACCTAACTGAAACTAGAAAGCAATGAAGCAGAGATAGTGAGAAAAAGAGTAATTTGTTTAAACTATTTTTGAGGGGTGGTTGATTGCAGGACCTTGCTGAAACACCCTAAAGAATCTCAGATCACCAGAACGTTGGAATGATTATTACTTGTATTATCCTAAATTTGCAGAAACCAGAGATGTCATCAAGCTGGACAGCATACAAATGAATGAAGCAAAACAACTGCCCTGGAAATATTATTTCACCAGATCAATACTACAATTTCATGGTTCAATTCTGGCATTCTTGTATCAGTAAGAGTGCACCTACACAGTGATGAGCAAACCTGCTGAAGCACCGTTAGCGAAGCCAGTACAGTTTAAGTGCAGATTTGAATGAAGCAGCCCGGTGGGTTTTTTTCTGGTATGACAATGCCCATCTAACTAATGCAGGAAAAGTGCCTTCAGAACGCAGGAAACACACCCAACTCTGTTTCAAAGCTCATAGCACGTCAGAACTCAGATCAGCATTTTTGACAATAGAGTTAGTTGATTCTCCCAAAACAGGTACTGGTGTAGGACAACCAACAGTAGCATAGCTTTGTATAGGTAACCCTCTAAAGCTCCCAAAAAGCCTTCAGAAGACCACCCTGTACTCAGCTTATTGCTTTCAGAAGCTTTTTTTGCTTCCTGTCATAGGGAAGAAAAGTTAAAATGACAGAAAGCCAAATCAAGAGACAATATACTAGGAAAGTTTCAACATTCAATGGCCGAGAAAGTTGAATGCCCAGTTTGCTGGTGCAAACTGAAAGCCAGAGGTCTGACCAAAAGGTGGGACTTTAGTAATGGTTTCTGCAACTACACTGTATCATCTCCCATTTCATGTTTGCAATGCATACTTTGTTATACCCTGTGCATAGATGAAGTTAAACTGTTTCCACATAGCCTACTAATTACCTTGTATTTAACTGACAGCATATTCAAAACCTTAAGCAAAGCAGAATCAGGAAAGTGAAACTAAACACAACAGCAAAAATGGAAAAGAAACAGCAGTAAGAGACAGATGTGTACGTCAGAAAGTGAAAATGCAGCCAAAATGAAGAGGAAAAAAAAAAAAAAATTAATTCTAACTGCAAAAGGTGTAAGAAAACAATTTAAAAATCCCTGTTGAAGTAGAAAAGGAACAAAACATATACAGGCTCAAAAAAGAAAAAAAAAAGGTATTTGCAGAGAAAAAAAATTGAAGAAAGCATAGAAGATAAAGGAAATTATTTTTAAAATTATTTACTACTGATCATATAAGTGAGATATTTTGCTCTTTTCCCTAATAAATATGACAAAAATAGTAGTGACATAGACAAATAATCAGTAGATAGAGACAGCAATGTACTTAAGCAAAGCAAATCACTGGAATAAAATGGTGTGTATGCAAGTATTTATGTACATTCTTAAGCTCCAGGAACTTAAGAATAAGTGTCTGAATTTGCAATAAACTTGCAGGCAAACATAATGAAGTATTAGCACACGTTCCCTACTTGTGAAAGAAATAAAAGTTGCATATGTCTTTTAAAGAGTCATTTTTAATTGAAGAATGAACCTTACTCCAACATAGGAGTTTGTAATTTAAAGTTATAATAATGTAGATGAATGCATGACGTGATGGAATAATATCCAAAAAGTTCTCTAATATAATGTCAGTCCTCAAAAATGACAATAAAATAGAAGATAAAGGGGTGACGAAGTCAAGAGGAGGATGATGTAACACAGCAGAGCTTCCAAATTGGGATCAAAGTCCTGCAAAGGAAATACTTGAGAAGCTGATGAGTATGAGAAAAACAGATGAATTTCCTCTACCTGTATTTCCTATAATTGTATATTAAGATGGCAACAAGTCCCTCAAGGTTCCATTTGAAAAATACTTTAAAGTGGCAGACAGCAAACTGAGGTACTTTCCAGATTCATAATTATTCAAATTAGTCAGGAATAAAACCAGCTAAGACTAGACCTATTTTAGGAGAAGTGATGAATGAAGCAGGATTTAAGACACCAAATGGCAGAAACTAAGCAGAGATCATTTGAACTAGTTATATCCTTTTCTATTTTAAGGAGGAACTCCAAGATCATTGCACACAACCCAGTTAAATCTTTTGATTGCTTATATTTATTAACGTAAGAGACAGAATAATAAACAATTCTGTAAATACTATTGACCTGTTATATGGTTCAATACAGATCCGTTACATGTACATCTGGAACACCATGTGCTGTTCGGTACATTATCTGACAAAAGATGCAGCAGAAACTGAAGGAAATGAAGATCTAAATGATATGAATCATCTCTGAAAGTATGACCCAAATTTAAATAAAAAGTACCTACAGATTTTGTATAAAATTTAGAATCAAGATATAATTAAAAGAATTAAAGGAATAATATGAAAGAAGGAAAGACAGTAATTCCATTTTTATCTTCCAAGTGATAAAACAAAACAAAACAAACCCAAAGAAAACCACCAAACTGCCTTCTGTATGTTATTCTCAGATACACAGGTGGATTCACCGAGCCAAAAACCCAGTCATCAATTTTCACAGCTAATTTATAGTCGGAGACTGAATACTTTAGTATCCCTATAGCTTTTGTTTGTCTAGTTTCTGATACAGTTATTGCATCTGAAAACACTAGTGAGCTGCACTTAATATATACAAATTAAAACAAAAGGAGGAAGGAAATGACATAAAACTATACTCCTGGTCAAGTTGTTTTTACTTCTGCTGTTACAAGCTTGGCTCTCTTATTTCGCTCTGATAAGGAAATTTTGTCTAAACAAAGTATGTGGAACTTCTGGATAAGATTCCAGAAAAACATGTAATTCCTATTTAAGATACCAAAAGAGATTTCAAAGCTTTTATACAGTATATGAAGGATTTTTTTACATTAATAGATATGAAAGTGAGCTGAGGTACCAAACATTATCTTGTAGAGCTGGGAATTGAAAATACAAGGCAGAGCATGCCCTTCATTTATTTTATCATGCACTTTGGGAGGTACAAAATCCCCCAAAGGAAGACTTGATTATGAGAAATGTAGAGCTAAACATGCAACAAGATCGTGAGCACAGATCAACTGCCTTCAGCATATTCCAAGCAAAAGGTCTACTTGAGTTGAAACTAATAGAGCACTCAAGGACCAAATTGTATTATGATAAGAGAGTAATGGAGTGCTGTTGAATATATCTGAAAATGAATAGTTAGAAAAGAAAAAAATAGAGTTGTAGAGTAACACTCAAGCATTACACAAAATAAATTCTAGTGCATTCAGAAAAGTTTGGCACTGGAAGGAAAATTATAATCATCCTATGTAAAGCAGAACATTTTTCTACCTCTACTGAAGTTCTACATTTTTTTCAAGCTGATATAGACCATTTAGGACAGTGATGCTTCACGCTAAATACCCATGCAAATACATTTTGTGGTAAGGGTCTGCATCTCCAGACAGCCATCCAGAAACTGGAATGTGTTGAGTAATAGAGCATTTACTTGTAGTTCAGAAGTGTTTTCAGTTTCAAACTAACAATCTTTCTGTAACATTTTCATTTTAAAGACGTTAAGAAATGCAAACAAGCAGATTTACAATGAATATCTTTGGGATTTTTATTTTACTTACGTATCTTTGCGATCCATCATATTCACACCTCTCAATTTTTCCCAAGCTGCCATCTGAAAAGTAAAGTTTCTCCGCCCTATGATCAATGGTAAGTCCATTTGGTGTCAGAATATCTGTACTAATGATAACCTGTGCATTTTTGCCTGAGAGGGTAGATCTCATGATGCTTGGGAGCTGCTCATTCCAGTTAGTCCAAAACATTAAGCTGTATTAAAATCAAAATAACAAACAAAACCATAAGATACAGTTTATAATTTAGTTCTCTATGAAATGAGCAACAAAAGAAACATATGCCTTCGTAGACAATTATGAATGTCATCTATAAGTAATTGTGATAATCAATGGTGAATAAGAAAATGTGATAGCCAACAGCCTATAAATTATATAGCAGTTTCGTAGCTCATTAACTTGTATGCAAGTACCGATTTTTTTCCCTTCACAGGTCTGTTCAATTCTGATCATGTCTCTATACTAATATACCATTACAGATAGATATAAGCTGTTTAACAATATACACTTAATTCTGCTAATGTGTATATTAGTAATTTCTAACAGTGAAATTAATCTACAGCTTTTCCCATATTAGAACTGTGATACAGACCAAAGGACTGGTAGGCAGAAGGATGATAATGGAGAATCAAAAGACCTTAATATGCTTTGCAGGAGGCACAATCATCCCCTTGCTACCGTTAAACAACAGGGGACAAACTGAGCTGTGGATGTAATTTATACACTGATCAGAACCTGCCCATTCTCTCATTGCAATCTTCATCAGCATTCAGTTGGTTTATTTATGATATCCAGATAAATTGTATTTTGCAATACAGCATAAACTCTTAATGTGCATAAACCGTACGTTAAGTCACACATGGAAATAACCTCCTTGACAACCCATGCAACATCGTACGTTCAGCTATCACAAATTAAAACCAGAACATAATAAGGCAGAAATGTAGCCTAGCCTTCCCAAAGGGCAGACAATTAAAAGAAGCAGGAACAGCAGGTTGCCTTTCTTCCAGCATTAACAGAGAAGATAGTAGAAGTAGTAGAAACTCAACTCGAATTTTAAGTCACTTACTAGGAATATAAACCCTCCTACTATGTTACTAGGAAATATGGTTTTCTTGAGAGTAGCAGGAAGGGAACTAAATTAGACTTCTTTCCAGGATGATGTCCACAAGCACCGTAAACGTACATCCCTTGTTACATAATTTTATACAACACTGATCTTTGTGATAAACACATGGGCCTACCAATTTGCCACATAAGAAACTCAGATTCCTGTTCATAAAGGCTTAAATTAATTTTGTTTTTATTTAAACAATAAGAGTCTTGATAATTTGCATTTAGCTCACTTTTCTTGAAACCAGCTTGAATTTTTTAGTATTCTGTAAAAATGCAATAATTATTTGATCTGAAACATATAAAATGTTGTACCTTAATTCTGCAATTGCTTTAAAAAAAATAATGCTAGCATTTGTCTCCTAAACCAAGAAATCTACTTAACCTTCACAGAGTTCACCAGTATTAGTTGACTGTGAAATAAAGAAGTACTGCTGTGTCCTTGACATTAGGCAAAAATTAAAATCTGGCAAGAAAGATATAATACATACTTTTGACATTCGTCTAGCGCTAACACGTGTGGATGATCGTCTTCAGACATCGTTATTACAGCTTCCCGGTTGAAAGCTCCTCGACGTCTCTGGTCGACCGTATGTCTCGTGATTGAGGATGTGGTTGAACTGGTCCAATAGAGAGTGTCCCAAGCTCTATGATAAGCAAGTCCCTCCACTGACCCAACATCTGGAAGACATGATTACAGACAGAGCAGATAAAACTCCTTCTAACAAGATGTTTGTTTTTCTTTTTCCTTCAAGCTGATCCTGCAGAATCACAGAGTAACTCAGCTCATTGACTGTCAATACTTTTATTGTTTCACCTGTTTATGGTTTTATTAGAATCAAAGACTTATTCTTTTTTCATAAATTTAAATAAAAAAAATCTTAGAGACCAAGATCGCTGTTAATATCCCTGTACTATATTTGTCAACTCTAACACTCATGAAATTAATATTTTTACTACAGTGTCCCCAGATAATACATTAGAAATAATAAGCAAGTATTCAAGACAGCAATAATTTAGTCACAACTTCAAACATCACATAAGCCAAGTCTCAGGCATATTTTCTCTAATTACTTGTAGTATTTAGCATTATCTTTCGATGTATTTTCTAACACAGCTACAAATTACATTAATAGGGATCAAGGTGCCCTGTCGTTATTAACTGCATAGGGCTTTTTTAAACAGCTGAAAAATACTGAAAAAAGACAAACTCTGAAGGTCTCAGCATCAAAACATTGTTTTAATAAGCCACAATACAACACTTTTTTTTTCATTCTACATAAAAAATGGTGAGCTAGAAACAAAAGCAAATATTAATAAGCAGCTAAAGCATATATTTAATGTCCAGAAAAGATAAATTGTATCTGATTCCAATATATAAAAGTGACAGACTGTGAAAAATAGGAGTAATTTTTTCCTACCATTATTTTTGAATTACTAGAGAAATGTACGTTGATTACTTCACTTATTATTTTGTTAGAAACAAATAATTTTAGACCAGAAGGTTTATGCAGCTTATTAATGAACTACAGAAGGCAAAAACCTAGAAAAATAATAAGGATTACATTATGCTAGTTATTACAACTTACATTTGGCTTTCTGGAAGATGTAATTTTTAGCATGTAATTCATATACACAGAACTGAAAGTCCAAAATTATGTTTGATCACACTGAAAGTGCTAACACTAAATCAAAACTGAGGCAAATAAATTAAAACTATGAGACAAATAATTATTTATCACACTTTTGTATTTCTCTTTCTAAAGCATTTGAAGATCTTCTGAGTACATTTTCATGATATATCGGCAGGGAAGTCTCAGTGACTTGTCTTAAAGAAGAAAGAATAGAAAAAATAAATTAGATTACACTCCTTAAAGGGAGGCGAATATACGTAAAATGGGTTTTCCTACTTATGAAGGTGAATTTATAAAAAAAATATATTCAGTTCACTTACAAGCAACACAAGAAAGTGACTGAGCTTCTTTAAAGTTTAAAATTCTACTCACCATTGCAAAGATGACCCTTTAGATAAGAATTCTGGTTTTCAAAAAGATGAATGAGGTACAAGTATTCTTTCTTTAAATGCAATATTTAGTTGCTTTATTAATTTATTTTGAATTTTAAGCAACACAAGCGTTTTGAGATACAGCAAAGGCTTTATCTTTTGTTTCAGAAATCACTAGCTGAAATCGAAGACAAGCAGTTCTTTCAAACATCATGAGAGAGATGTGCAAACACCTACTGAAGTATTTTAAAACCCCTTAGAACATGCCTGAATGCATGCTTGTTATCAACTACGGTTTCTGCAGCTTCTGAGTATGTCTGTCTATACTATGAATTGAGAAAGTCAGTTGCTTCACTCTTGGGTCTTGCACCCCTGAGCACCCACACCGCATGCATGTTACTTCATACCACGCCAACCTTCTGGAACAAAACAGTTAATTCCTTCTGAGATGTAACCCAGGTATTCTTCCGGCAAAAATTTGCTATTCTTTCTGTAAAAAAACTCTTTGGGGAGTATAAACAAGACCAAACCAGGTTTTATTCCTTTTGCCTAGAGAGACCTCCCAACCACCAAAATCTCTACGCTTCAAACAGACCTTAACTTTCTCACACCGTGCTTCAGGACATGCGGAAAACATCCCTGACATCATAACATAAAAATATCACTCCTGGGACTGACGTATGGCCAGCACACAATTTTAGGCAGCATAAGCCAGAAGAAATTCTAAGAATAATGATAGTACTTCAGAGCCACAGAAACACAACGTCAGATTCAAAGGAAACCTGGACAACCCAAATCATCCTAGGGGCACCGGGCCAAGCACTGCACCCGTTAACCACCCCGCTGCCTGGTCTGGGCCCACGGATCACTCCCAGGGGCAGAAATCTGTACAGTTTAGATATGGGCTCTGATACACGTCTTGGATGTTTCTTGCAAACCATCCACCAACTGTGAAACTAAAAGAAAACTTAGTAACTGTGATAAGTGTTAAAACAAAGAGTCAGGAATACAATTCTAACTTAATTTACTGATTTCCATTGAAATTATATGCTGAAGCCCAATTTACCACTACTTACAATTCTCTTAACTAAAACCAAAACTCTTAGATATAATTTGGACAATGCTCGTAGATATATGGTTTCCCTGTGTGGAGTCAGGAGTTGGTCTTGATGATCCTTGTGGGTCCCTTCTAATTTGGGATATTCTGTGATTCTATTACAAAATGACGGCAGATGTATTGAATTTTTCTGACCAATTCTGCACTTTGTTTGTAATGAACAAACCGTCAGAGCATTTATTGCACTATTTTTCCCTTTCAAATCTGTGAATGTTGAGAGTTTCCTCATCTTTATTATGGAATTTTTTAGAAAAATGTAATCAAGTCTTTGTCTTGTGGTTAAAGACATAGCCTTTAGGAGGTGAGGATTTAACTAAGGTTTGCTGCAAATCCTGCTCTTCATTTGAAAGATGACTATCAAAAAAAAAGAAAAAGTATTTCCCTTATGTAACCTCTTGAATTTCTATCAACTTTAGCTTTGTTCCTTGTCTGAATCTGTCAATAAATTTGAAAGCAAACTGTTTATAAAACATAGCCTAAAACTCTGCCGTTGTAGACAAAAGATAATGATGCTGTTCCTGCCACAGCTAGATGTGATGAATTAGAACACAACTAGAATGATGAAAGTCCTCTTCAAATACAAGACGTAGGTTTACTTGTAATTTCTATACTTAAGAGAATAACTCTATTTTTCTAAAGGAATCAGAAAGTGAAGCTTCACATTCTCAAACTGGACCAACACATCATACTGCAACTCCATATTAAAGTCCGTAAATGGTGACAGAAGGTTTAATTCAACAATATTATTTACAAAATGGTAATTTATAAATTTTTAGAAAACAGAGTCCTGAAAAGTTGCACCGTATATGGAGACAAGCAAACATTTATCATACAGATGAAAAATTCATCTTCCTCTTATTTTAACAAAATATCTAAAATGAGCAGTTTTGAAAAACCTTGCCATGTCTACGTATTGTTCTTAGTGGAGCAGAACTAAAACAAAGCAATCAATAAAACTTTTTCTTTAGAAGAGAAAAGCAGTAACAACTGTAAAAGAAAAGAGAGAAGCTAAGATTAAAAAAAAAAAAGTCTCTATCTTAATGGTAATTTCAATGACTGTGACTGAAAAAAAAAAAAAAAAATCAGAAAATAATCCAGCAACAGAATCAGGCTGTGAAAGCTGCTGAAATCAAATGTCTGATATTCAATTAGGGAAATGTACTATCACAAATAAAACTTCAGGAACTGCTTGATGTACATATGCTTTTTAAAGAAGAAAAGAAGGCTCCATATTACACGATCACATCTTCGAGCAAATTAAACCTGAAACTATCAAGGTTAAGGTGATAAGCCTGTGGACAATGGTTTCATAAACACCACAGCCACAAAAATTCAGAGTGGAAAAATATGCATCTCTCTTAAAAAAAAAAAACAAACAAACAAAACAAAACCAAACAAACAGAACATTCAGAGGAAATAAATTGCCTTGATGTAGGATTAGAAAAAAAACCACTAATTAAATATAAAACTGTCTGCTGCAAACACATACCGCATGCATTTGCCTCACTCCAACAAAACTATAAATTCTGAAGGATTTATACCAATCATTCTCTTTTATTTGCCAATAAACTTTATCATGTTCCGTACTTACGGAATTGACAACTTCACCAATACAAAAGAGAATCACTTAATACTTTTAGAAATCTGCGAGTAAGGTGGTTTTAAAGTCAGTGGCATAAGACCTAGAAAGTAGGTGCTAAAGTGATCCAAGATTTAGATGAATTCTTACAGTGGAAAATACAACTAACTCTGTTCTTATTAGCACGCAGTATGAGCTGGATGAAGTACCGTCCGTACACTACTCAGGCAAATCTTCAGGATAATAAGTTATCAGTGCCAATATAGTATTTTTTGTTAGTTTATATTGTTTCTAGGTTAAAATAAACAGTTTGTTTTAGAGATTAGTGAAGAATGCCAAAATTCATATAAATCCTTTTATCAGTGATAAAATAAGTGCCAAGTGAGGACAAAAATGGACCTAGAAATGGTCCTCTAGCCACTTTCAGGTGGTTCCTTGAAAGTAAAACCCTCTAGCAACTTCATATTGCCAAAGACAGAACACTGGAGACAATTCCAAGGCAACTGCATTCTAGTGTTATATCATTACCGGTTTACATAGATATTATTTTATATTTACTTATTTCACACTTCCTTAAAGAATATTCCAGATATATTTTTTTCTCTCTAAGTTAATTTATTATTAGATCCTCAGTTACTTTAAAACACATCAGAAATATGTACTCATCCTATCTGGTGCTACGACTGGGAGATTCAGTCCCAAAATCTACTGACAGGATGAAAATTAGCAATTTGTTTACTCTCAGCTTCATATTTTCACAGTATCATATAATATTCTGAATTAGTAAAGCATAAAGAAACTGGAAATGAAAAGAAACACATTTGTTTCACTGACATATTGAATTAAAACACTGATGGCATTAGATGCCTACAGCACTGATTAAATTTATTCTAGCCATGAAGCAACAGTTTATGATTTTCACATGAATAGCATACTTAAATGAAAGGAACATTAATACAATATGATATTAATATACAAAT